TGTGAGTTAGCCATGCCCTGACTTAGATCAGCCAAGAGGTTATTTCAGGGTTTGATCTGTGAGTTAGCCGTGCCCTGACTTAGATCAGCCCAGAGGTTGTTTCAGGGTTCTATCTGTGAGTTAGCCATGCCCTGACTTAGATCAACCCAGAGGTTTTTTCAGAGTTCTACCTGTGAGTTCAACCTTTGCCCTGACTTAGATCAGGTTGTTTCAGTGTTAAATGAATTTCAATGGAACTATTCCCGTGCTAATATTTCCTTCCTTCCAGACACCACAAGAGAAAGAAGGAGAAAAAGAGCAAAGACAAAGAAAGACGACGAAGAACAAGTGACTTTGAAGACAGTGAGGCCGAAAAAGGTACGTTCCGAGATTTCATCAATACATCTTCTCAAACGCAGGAGAATATTTTGCCCTTCAGATGATTAAAATTGGGAGAAAATTAAAATCTCATAGCAGATTTTAAGCGACTGTGACGCTGGCTTGTCCAGGCATTTTGATTGGATAAATAGTGATTTCGAGCTATGATTGGTTCAAATGATACCGTGACCGTGCCTTGGGGTTTGACCGTGCCGTGGGGTTTGACCGTGTCCTGGGGTTTGACCGTGCCTTGGGGTTTGACCGTGCCTTGGGGTTTGACCGAGCCCTGGGGTTTGACCGTGCCTTGGGGTTTGACCGTGCCTTGGGGTTTGACCGTGCCTTGGGGTTTGACCGTGCCTTGGGGTTTGACCGTGCCTTGGGGTTTGACCGTGCCGTGCGGTTTGAACGTGCCGTGCGGTTTGACCGTGCCGTGCGGTTTGACCGTGCTGTGCGGTTTGACCGTGCCGTGCGGTTTGACCGTGCTGTGCGGTTTAACATTCCCTTGCAGTGAGTGACAATGACATGTAAAATACAAACGGATAAAATGCCATGGAAGATACGAAGGAATAAATTTTTACATTTTTTTCATATTTTTTCATTTCCGCAGTGAGTGACAATGACATGGAAAATAAGACAAAAAAGAAAGGCCATAGCAGCGATGAAGATCGAAGTGACCACGACTCTGAGTATGAAAAAAGCAAGAAGAAAACCACCCAAGAAGCGACAAGCGATGATGACGAAGAAACGCCACGCAAGAAGAAGAAACGCAGCTACAAGAAAAAACCTGTTAGCGCCGGCGACTGCTACTCTGATAGCAACTGATTGGATGGCTTTTTGACCAATCACATCTAGCATGTTCCTAAATCCCCCAACGATGGTTATCGAGGAATGGATAAGATCTTCATTTACTACTCTTCCCACTAGACCCAGACAGTGCTTTTTTTATCGCGTTCGTAGCGTCTTTTATGTGATCCAGAAGTACATTTCAAATCGGCCACGTGATGCCAATGTTGTACCACGTGGACAAGTTTTTTACACCACGTGATTAAAATTCAGTCAAGTTTTAATCACGTGGTGTAAAAAACTTGTCCTCGTGGTACAAAATTGGCATCACGTGGTCGATTTGAAATGCACTTCTGGATAATATAACAGATGCTACGAAGGCCATTAAAAAAATTCCAACTGCCTCGGTCTACTGAGAAGAGTAGTAATTCAGCTAAACACAAAAGGAATGGAGATTGCATTACTGAAAGTATTTGCTGTCTTTGATCATTATTTAACGTAGTATATTGACTATTCATGTAACCTAGGTAACTGACCTTAATGTTGTGCTGCTGAGTGATTAGATGGTTTTTTCATAGCCTTCAAAATATTTGTGCGTTGTGACAAATGATAGGTGATAGAGAGACATTCCTTGGGAAAAGTTTTTTTTCTTCCATTTTTGTAATGATTTAATGAGTGAATAAAAACATCAAGTGAAAATTCTGAGATTATAGAGTATTGATGGGTTGTAAGCATTTCCAAGAGGGTTAAAAGACAAAAGTATGGTGGCCATTGTGATGCCGTTAACAATGGATGCTAATAAGAAATCTTTTGTTAAATGGCACCAACGCTCCCCCGTGAGAAGCCACGATGATGTAACGTGCAATTGAAGAATAGAAGCTTGTTTGTTATATGCAGGGGCGGCGGAACTGGGGGGCTGAGTCATTGTTTTACGGTGCATGCGTCTGCAATCAAACAAGACATTGTCATTATCACATAGCGTTAAATATAATCTTCAGTGCCCCAAAGATATTTGCAGTGCCCCCCCAAAGATTTTTAGCTTCCTCCGCTCCTGATATGTTCAATTGTTGTGCTACTGTCATGGCTGCCATCACGTGATGATGCAAAGCCTCTATTGTACAAGTCATGATATGAGAACCCCTATCCTCTCTCTCTAACTACYCACACCACTACCTCTAAACTTAGTGACCCCACCCACCTGGCAATTGTAACAGCTGTCACCAAATTTGTAAAGGTTTGATTATATTAAAGCCCTCTGAGATGTACTTACGAAAATATGAAATTTGAAAACATTTTCAAAACTTTTTTTAGCATATTTTGTCACACTGGTCACAAAATCAACTTGAGTAATTTACTTTATTTTTAAGAAATAACTTAGTTAATAAATACATTTTCACAACATTTTCAATGAAAAAAACCCTAGCATCAATGCTTAACAAAAAATATTCATACTTCTAATAGGAAATTAATTTTTTTTAAATTATAATTATAATTTTATAAACCTTGCACTTTTTAACCCGCAATTGTATCGATTTTTTACTCTTGCTGCAGAAGTATGACGTATCCCAAGTTCCCTCCCCAGAATCGTTTTATAAAACTGTACCTTTAAGTTCTTAATACATTTAGAATAAATTTTAAAAAAATTTACCTCTTTATGTATATATATATATATTATTAGGTGTTAAAACTATATACATTTTATGAATATTCAGCTTGGGATTAATTCTGCTGATGCTACATTAGTTGATGGCTTGTTTTCTCGGGTATTTTACATAATGTTCGGAACCTTGCAGTCTGCTGTGAGTTATATATGCTTGCCTAGTGAAACAGAATATATTTGTTAGTGAGTTATCATTGAAAGACAACATGAATGTCATATAAAGTCCAATAACTAATATCTGTCATTAATGCCATTTTGAAGGAAAAGCGAAATTACTTTGAAACCCCCGACCCGTGGAATAGGGCAGGGAGCTGAGGTAATGTGGCAAAACTGAAAATACAACCTGAATTTAAGAGCAGAAATGCATGGACGTACGATGGGGGAGTTATAACACACACTTTAAGAGTTTAGCAATTTTAACAGCAACAATGTTTGACTCCACATGAAAGTTAAATTCTCTGTTCTGTCCCCGGGGTTTGTGGGGTGGGGGTTTCAATTGCCCTATTTCAAAATGACGTCACATTAAAACAATCTATTGTTTCAACGCAAAGGATCATGGTCGTCGGAGGGGGTCAAATCAATGCAAATTCACCGAAAATTGTTCTAAAACCCTTATCAATCCACGAAGAGAAGTAGATTAGCCAGCAAACTCTCAGAATATTTTTAGTACATATTAACACATATCTGAAAACCAGGCCATTTTAGAGCAGATTTTGTTGAATTTTCTATTGGATTTGGTGATTCTATCCCCCACATAAACAAGCAGTGGCAATTGGTTAATTATGCAAGAAGGTGCATAGATATGCAAATATGCTCACATATTTCGACGCTTAGTAATTCTTAAACTATACTCTGTTCATAAATRCTTTCAGTGGAAAACAATATATTTTTTAAAAAACGTCTGGATCCCAAATAATTTTTTAAATCTCTCTGTCACAGTTAAATATATATTAGTTGTCACAGATTTTGAAGGCCAAAATATATATATATWTTTTTGCATATTGATAAGTCTGCAATATATGACTGTTTCCATGGAGATAACTCTAGATTTACATCAGTAAACCAGTTCAGAAAAAGTTTGGAACTACCTGTAGTGGTTTATATTGTAAACGAGAAACTGAAAACTTTTTGCTGCAATGTTGCTATGGTGATCTTGAAATCAGGTTAATTAAACAGCTTTTCATTCTGTAAATTCTTAACAAAAGCTATAAAATAGTTTCATCCCACGAAAAATTTAAATATATGCTTTAAAAATAATGTAGCATAATAACTACCAATTCTGGTAAAATTAATTTCGCGTAAAATTTAATTTATTATCGTAGTTTTGTTTTTTTTTACTGTAACTCTAGGCGTACCATTCATTTTCGAAAGCGCTTTTTTATCGCTGTCCGAGCTATCTTGCTCAAAGGCAGACGAATGTAGCTTGAATCCATAGAGTTTTGGAGTATAATTTTCTGTGGTACGATTTGGTCTGTATTCAGGGAAGACCATAAAAAGCATATGTGGAAGTCCAGTTCCAAAATATGCTCCATCGATATAGCAATATTTCAGCTGTCTTGGCTCGTATACCTCGCAACATTTTGGACAATAAATTTTAACCATTCCTTCTCCTGGCTGATCGGACATTCCTATCGGTAAAACATTAGCATTTGAGCATAAAACTCGAGGGCAATGACCAAAATCCCCGTTGAGGTATTTATGAAGCATTTTTTTGCATCCCTTGTCGGTTAAGGCAAACCTTGCATGGATAAGCCCATATAGGTGCTCGGCGGTTCTGGCTACAGTCTTGTCCAACACGGACGATTGGTAAGATATTTTAGAAAATCGGATAAAGTCATCGTCGGCAAAATCTGGCTTGTCTAGGATTAAATTCAACGCTTGTGAAAAACATGTTACTTCCTCATTCAAGGAGACAAGATTCGCAGGGTCTTTGATGTAGTCTTTGTCGACCTCGCAAAAGAAATCGTTTCCTAATTTTGTACAAAAACGATGGATCCATTCTCCAGTACTCCCTGTAGTATTATTGATCTCTCTTTCCCGAAATAAAACCATTTTATCTAAGCTTGTCTCCATCGCAAACGCCGCTCTCTCGAGCTCCGCGTATTCATTCACTTTCTATTCAAAATTCCCAACCACGGTGGATATTTTTTTCTTTTCCTTTTCCTCTGACGAACAAAACAGCGGATAGGCTTCCCAATAATGTAAGATTATACTGTTTCCTCCTTAACCATGCACCTTGTAGATCCAGAAAAATTGTATGAATGTCTCAAGAAGAATGTCTAACAAGACCGTAGAATCTTTGACAAGAAGCACATTGCTGGTTTTGACCTTTGTCATCTAGAGTTACAAACAAGCTTATTCTACAGCGTCTGATTCGACACCCATATCATTCCAAAATAGTAAATAATTTGCTCAAAGTTCAAGTTCAAGTCTTGGTTGAGATATCTATTAGAAAGTGCAGCCGATTGGAAGATTTTTCCCTTGTTTTTCAGTGTATACACACCCTACTTTCATATTAATAGTCAGCCATGTTAGCCAGCTGTAGGCAACCTATTGAGAGCTTGTTGTTTGTTTTTTCACGCCACTCACGTTTCATGGACGCGTGATGTCACGTTCACGAACCGTCACGCATTCACAATCCATACCCTCTTTCATTTTTTCGTCTTTTAGAATATTTTCTCCCAAAATTTCGTTGGATATATTCTTTGGATTATAATCCCTTTTAAATTCTTTCTACAAAATCTATAGATAAATTGTACAAAATTTTACAAATGAAGGAAAAATTCAATCAATTTGCTTCTAGCTTTCACTCAATATTTTAATTTTAAGTTTTTGTTTTCCTGTCATTTTCGTTCTCAAAATAGTTTCTATCGTAAGACAATAGCACCACAAGTGTCTTTTTAAAACATCCTTTTACATTGAAAAACCAGGAAAATGAAAAGATGACGCATTCTTTAAAACTTACGTCACTTCCGGCGGATTTAGGAAGCCCATTTTGTTCGAATTTTAATTCAAGCAATGTTTTTTTCTGCAAAGAATATGAAATAACTCAAAACAAAATTCTGTTAGCATATTTTCTCACAAGAGTTTTACAAACTCCAAGTTTACAAGAACAATTTGCGACAAGTCTTGCACTCCAAACCATTTTATAATAGCCACGAACTTTTGAACAATGTTTTCAAAAAAATTCATTCGCTTCCTTAATCTCAATTCTTCCTCCTCCGCCGTTGCCATAGTTACATTCATGCAACGTTATACTGAGTCATACGCCTTTCCGCCTTCAATTAAAGAGATACACTTGAATTAAGACGCCTGACGGAGAATAATGATGTTATCACTTCCGGATTCAGTCATTTCCGTTGTTTCGGTTTTCACCACAGGTAACCCAAGGGGAAAAGACTCTACTAGTGTCGTGCCTCCAGTCATGGCTGCCATCACGTGATATGGCGCAAAGCATATTAGGAGCGTGTGATCATGATCATGATGAGGCACATAACACGGTCACGGTACGATGGTGTGACGAAACGAGTTGAGCCCGGCTTAGCAAACGAAACAATGTTCACTCAATAACGCTCTTTGGCGCTGTCAAGGCTATGGTCACACTCACACACGCGGCGCGGCCTGTTAAATTCGTCCTCGAAGACGCAAGGATTGACCGTGACCGTGACCGTAACCGTACGTCGCGTGACATTTCAACATAGCGTTATTTATAACTTTCAAGCTCATTAGAATATTCAAACTATTCTCGAGGCAATGACAAGTGGTCGGAAATGGGAATGAAACGACCCAAGCTAGTAGCTTAAAAATAGAATCACCGGAAGTCTTTATACCAGACGGATTACCATCTTATCCTTGGGAGGTATGTTTGGCGCTGAAGGTAATGTTGCGGTTTGTTCTAATGGCGGATCATTTCCGAACAAAAAAAAACCTGAGGATGTCGGAACTATTTGACATGATTTAAAAATAAAGATGAAAAATATATTATTAGCGAAATCCTGCGCCCCAAAAATGTCGTGCTTCGGCACAGGAAGCCCAAGTAGTGTACCTACATACTTGATCACTAGTGGATTTATGGATCCAGTAGAGGCACAATCACTTGATGGCAGCCATGATAGGAGGCACAAGAATAGCGTCGTTTTCCATAGGAAAACTGTGTTCTTTCTCATGTAAATCAGATTAGACCAGATTCAATTCGGTTTCTGCCTCCTGTCATGGCTGCCATCACGTGACGGTGCAAGAAATCGTAAATTGAAAATTAATGACGAAATTAGACATGTTTTAGGTCTTACCTCGTGTTATGTAGTTTTTATCCGTTCGTTGTGATTGTTGGCGGCCATGTTGGTTGGTATTCCAAAATCATTGACAATTCGTTTGTTAAATTCAACCAAGATGGCGGTCATGACGTCATGTGTGCGCAAATTAGTTGCGCGCAGCGTGTCTGCAACGCTACGACGAGGTCTCGCTGCTTCGCAGCTCGCTCACCGCTTCGCGGCTCAAAATATACGTGGCCGGGAGAAAAATCGTCGAGCCTCTGGGACCAGGGTAATTAAGGTGCGACGAAAAGACTAATCGTTGTGCGCCGTGATTGGTTTATATCGCACACGCGCGCGCGCTGAGAGACAACTACCAGAGAGGTAAGCCAGAGAGCCTAGCCTCCTACGGTCTGTCACGAAACGCTTCCCTCATCCTCGTGGGGATGAAAACGTTGTGTGACAAACCCTAAGAACTTCTTTGTAGGAAGCTAAGGGACGGACCATTGAAAAAATACAACCTCTCCTTTCAGTAAAGAAATATCGAGAGCAAACACAAAACATTTGAGTGCATGAGTTGCTACAAAAAAAATAATATCGTGCAACTTAAGTTCCTGCAACCTCCGACTCCCAAAGGAGATCTTATGGTCCCTAAGTAGAACCCGACCCTAAACCTGCCTATTCACCCGCCCCATTTTCGCATCCCGCTTATATATCATTGCGGTTTTGAGGGGGAACCAGGGGAAAAACCGCACACGTTATATGGTGGAGACGACTTACTCATCAGATCATGTTGCAAATGCATCTTATCTTATTTAAAGATGTATAAGAAACAACCAGGAACAAAAGAATGAGTCTTAAACAAATCAATTTTTTTTTTCACTTTGGGTCCATACATTTCCACTAAACACTAAAGCACATTCCATTGAATGACATCATATACGTTTGGGCTATTGTTTTAACCATTTACACCTGGCCCCATGCAAAAGCAACATGGGGAATGTGAAAACAGTGCCATGAGATCCTCCTACTAGTGTAGCTGCATACAAAAATTCTCGTAAAGAATGTTAATACTGTATTTTGTTTATCGGCAAAACGGAAAGATTATAACAGGAACTTGTTTTGACGTCAAAACACAGTCAGTTCAAAGGACATGATATTAAACAAACCCGTGTCGAAGATTGCACTGAGCTTTATCTCATGCGCGCGTGGTCAAATCTTTTCGGGTTTTTGTCCATAAACAATAATATATAGCTGGTTCGGATCCAATTCTACTTCTTATCATTGAGTTTAATTATCACCTCGATAAGATCAGAGTAGAGGTTAGAGTACGCGCAGCACAAGCGCCGCAAAATTAATTACTCCTTTGATGTCTATCGGTTTCAGTGCTTGGCCGTTTTAATTCCTTTCAGCAAAAATGTTTGTACTCCAATTCCGTGCGTGGAGATCTAAATAATATAGAACCATTATTGAGTGTCCATGCTGTCTTTATAAACGACAGCCCTTTTCACACCTCATGATCCGCAGTTATCAAAGTCCTGAAGAGAGCATTAGAAGTAATCAGTACAGTGGCGGATCCAGGGGGGGGGGGTCGAAGAGGTCCACGGAACCCCCCTTGAAGGTTTGATCTTTTAGATAATAGAAATATGTCTTATATAAATTTTGCTTAAAAGTATCCACAAAGATAATGTTGCACACGAAATGATAGATATTTGCTGTTATAATGTTTAACTTACCTTTAAGTTCCGTTACTATAGATAGTAAATTAGGTGATTAGAGCCACTTTTTTGTCAAACATCGACTAAACAAAAGAGAATTATACACAGTTTAAGAAACGGAACCCCCCTTTGAAAAATCCTGGATCCGCCACTGTAGTATACCTCTTTTAAACGGGTTTATGCAGTAATTACATCCAACCTCTTTGTAGTGGCCAGTGTCAAACTGACTCAAAGGAGTTACTATTTCTCAACGGAGGTCTTACAAATTAATTTACTGTACTGTAAACCATAAAGGGACAAAAAATTGTTGATTATATCACTTATTGTTGAAAGTCACTGCGCGCGCTATCCGCAAATTAAAGTACGGCCGACATCCTTTGAATCAGACAGAGCGCACGAAAACATTGTTCAATGAAAGCGCTCGGAACACCACCGACACAGACAAGGCAAGTGCGCTTTCAGCACGCATCGAGTCTTGACTCAAAGTAGGAAGTTCTTCTTGCATACGATCTTAAAGTTAAGAATGAAATTTTTTTCAATAATGAGCAATAATGGCAAAAAGCGCCAAAAACTAGACTTTCGTATGAGTTTTGATCCCAATTTTCGTTTTGGGTTAACACTCAAAACCTTTTTTAAACAGTTAGAAACTGATGTGCTATGATAAAAAGCCTGTTTAAAGCAATATTTTCAATTGTACGAAGATGTTTTGTTGCATTTGTGTTAGAATATTGCTTTGTCAGGCTTTTTTTATAGAAAATATATGGGAAATAAGCA